TTTCAGTAGATCTTTCTGTAATGTGTCAGCCCTGGTGGGGGGAGGGAGAGCTGGCCCTGCTGTCTGTATCCTCTCTAGAGTGAGAGGGGGAGGCTTGCTGTGACTGTCTGGCTTGTGAAGGCTGCGGCGCCATCTTAGCAGGGGTGCGTGTCTGCCTCTCACCTGCTAATCTCCCTCTGGACTGGGATCTCTGGCCGGCGGAGGACATGGCCGTGTCACCCGTACCTTCCCTCGTCTGACACTGCAGTTATTGCCGCGATGTGGCCGGGATGAGCGGCGCGGGTTCCCCTGTTATGCCGGAGGGACACGGAGCTGCTCTAAAACATGTCTGCTCCGGATCACCGCGCGCATGCGCCCCCCCACATTTCATCTTCATATAAAATATGTAAAATAATTTTCTAAAAACTGAGGAGTAGGATATATAGTGTTAGAGAATGAAGCCGATGACTCAAATGTGCCGTTGATGAACCTGGTTTTGAAAAATGGTAACTGCAACATTGTTTGCTGAGCAGCTATTCCACTTCTCCCTCATATATATAAAATAACTCTGTTTTACTGATCGAGGTAGTACAATTGATCCTACCACAAATCACAAGACGTCTTGCTGTTGTTGAAGATCGGGAAGAGTACAGTAAAGGGGTACAGTTATTATTTCAGAATCAGAGAAGTATGGACTGGCCATATCAGCCTGTCATCTCCCAAGATTAGGGGGGAATTAAAATGGTGAGAAATATCAATACACTGTTACCTTGAAAGTAAACTGGCACAAATAATTCAACCATGAAAGGTGAGACAATCTGTGCTACTTACCATTGAAATGAGAAGCTTCAGGGTCTTCAACATTAATGACCATAACTTTCCAGTCGGTTTCTCCTTCATCAATCAATGCCAAGGTGCCAAGGACTTTAACCTTGATGACATCTCCTCTTTTACATACCTATTAAAAAGAAATGGTATATAATGCACTGCAGCAACCAGTAGTTCCTAACCCAGGTTCATGTATGAGTATTTACTAAAGCCAGCATTAGGGTGACCATAAATTATTCGATACTCTCCTCAACCTACTGCATGGGCACAGACTGTGCTCTTTAAGGCTACCCCTGGAATGGACTATGAGCATTTTCAGCCATCAAAAGAGCCTTTATCCTTCATGGATAATTGTAAGCTTGGTG